GAACCAGTGACATGTACCGTAATTTATTGCAAACAAGATTTTTTTTTTTTCCTTCCTTTGAGATGTGAGAGTCAAGTTACTGGGCAGTCAGACTTCTTAAAAAATGCCCCAGTTTTCTGGGGGATTGAATCAAATTAATGCTCTGCATGAACTTCAAAGAGACTGTGACAGGGTGGGTGGTAAAATCCCAGGGAAGCGTTGAGCAGATCTGTTGATCTCCGCTCGCCTGTCGTTGCAGGTCTCATCGGAGTCGTCAAGCGGCACGTTTGTGTACCAGGGCTTCGTGCGTGGCAAAGGCTTCGGGCAGTTTGGCCTTCAGAGGCTCGGTAAGTTCTCCCGATGACTGCCTTTTCCCTGATTGCTAAGAGCTGGATCTGGGTGCTAGGGGAGGTTTTCAAACAGGGAACGTTTCTCCTGTCCCTGACTTTAGTTTTCAGCCCAGATCTTTATAGCTGGTTGTGAACCATCAGGTTCAAACGAACAACATAACAACAAAATTTTTAATTTGGGAACAAAGAGTTTGGAGGCACGAAGGGCACCTGCATGTTGCCAGATCTCTGAGCTGAACACCCGAGTCCCATTGCTGTCACAAGAAGTGTCTCCATCTCACTTTCAGAAGTCACAGAGGCACTTTAGAGCTTGGATAACCCAAGGTCTAAGCTCCTAAATCTCCCTTAAAATGTGGCTTGAGCTCTTCGATCTCGTAGGATTTTTGGAATCTGACCCTGGAGCCTTGTCACCTTTGTGGAGAATTAGATGCTCGTTATTGCAGCCTTTGAAAGTCTTCCTTAAAGCCTGACTTTAAGCATCTGAATTTGACCATTTTAGTAAGATAAATCTATTTACATCTCTCTTTAATTGCAGTTCTAAATAAATGATGGGTGTCTAAGCTGGGCTAGATCTCCAAACCATTCTTCACGCAGCTCAGAACCTTTTAATTACCTTTAACAACAACACGTGTAACCGTCTCGTTCCGTTGTTGCAGATGTAACCCGTAACTCGAGCAAACCCCGTTTCCCACTGCGGTGTGTTGAAATGTCTTTACTGCTGCTGTGTTTCAGACATCAGCATGATGGAAAATGATCCAGAATCAATAGGCCACCATTTTGCATCCAACATTCTGTGGCAGCTGCCATTCTTGTGCCTTTCATCGCCCTGATTATTGCAGGGTTTGTGCTTTATCTCTACAAACACAGGTGGGTTTCTGCAGTGGTGCCAGCAGGTGAAATGAAATCAGGGGGCTGACAGAAATATTTGTGAGCTTGACTTAAAAGCCCTCCCCCTAGCCCTGGGTTTCTCATTTAATTCAGAAGATGACAAAATAATGGAGCAAGCATGCGTGGAGGGGCGAGGGTGGCAGGAGGAGGGAGCGGTGAGGGCTTTGATGGCCATTAAGAAGATTTGTGGCAATGTTAAGTAGGATAAGACAAGGTAAATTTCATACTCCAGCGTTCATGCTGGCTTTGCATATGTTGTAGATTAGTTGCTTCTCCTGATCGATGCATTGCTGGGGAGATGTTGCTGCACCGCAAAGCATCGTGCAGCCGGCCGCTCCGCGGGGGGAGCATGTGTAATGTATAGGAAGATTTTTCTGTAGATCCCTTCTGCTTTTATCCCCGGGTGTTTACTCTCATCAAAAGCAGCTTTTTTTCTTTCCACTGACTTCTTGTCAGGGTTAGCTGTGACCTCTCTGGATTTTCTCTCTGCCATCCCGCAGGAGAAGACCAAAGGTCCCGTTCAACGGCTACGCGGGCCACGAAAACACCAACGTCCGAGCAACGTTTGAAAATCCGATGTACGACCGAAACCTGCAGCCCACAGACATCATGGCCAACGAGACGGAGTTCACAGTCAGCACTGTGTGCACGGCTGTATAGCACCCGTCCCCTGCGGTGAGTGGGACCCTGCCACCGCTGCCCTCGTGTTGGTCACCTCCAAACGCTGGCTGGAGCCATGGTTCAAGGGAGCAGCCAGAGCACGGTTCACATTGCTCAGATCATCTCTGCCCAGGGCAAAACCCCAAGCAGCATCCCCCTCCTGGGTCTCAGGTGGTCACTGCTGGCTGGGGCACCACCTCCTGGGGACCAGTGGCAAAGCAAATCCAAACAGCCCCGTGGTGGGGACAGTGACCAGGTGAAGGGAAAAACCGTAGGATGAGTCTCTAAGAGAGGTCGTTCGCTGTGTGACTCCAGACAGTCATCGGAGGAGGGTAATGCGAGAGGTTTTACTGCCCAGACATAGAGGAATAACTCAATGTCATAAACAGAAGTGCCCTGGGGACCCAAAGGGTGCTTCTAGACTGGACCGTTCTTGGTTTGAGATCAGGAAGCTGTTGCAGGCTTTCTCAGCATTGCTCTGGGTAATACCAAGCTGTTTTCTTCTCTCTCCCCCTTCCTCTCCCATTGTCCCAGGTTCCTGCAGGGTCGGTGTCTGGTGGATGGTTGTGTCTCACCTCACTAGTCTCCATCCATTCCCTCCCCATCTCCCTCCTCCCAACCTTGCTGAGGCTGTGGAGAAGCTGCTACATCTCCTCGGACTTTGCGTTCGCTCCCGCGAGACTGCTGGGCTGTCCTCCGTCGTCCTCAGCCCCCTCCCCATCCATCCCGCCGCGGGTGCTGAAGCCAACCAAAGGTCTGCTCCTGCTCGGCTCCTCTGCCCACCCGCCGGGGGTCTCAGCCCGACGTCAAGACCTGGGAAAGTGGGGGACCTGGGTGTCGAGGTGATGGGAAGGCTTTACCCCCTGCTCTTGGTTTGTGTTCCTGGAGGGAGCAGTGGGGGGGGGGGTGGGGTCCCGCCGATGCCCCTCTGCTTTTGGGAAGAGCCTGGGCAGCAACGAGGCGAAAGCGGGCACCAGGTGCTGACTGGGGTTAATGGGAAGTACTGGTGTGGGGCAGGATGAGGACATGCTTTGTCTTTATTTGGTTTTGTGGGTTATTTCTTTGGTTTATTCCTAACCCAGGAAGAGTTTTCAAGTGGGATGTTTTCAATGAGAAAAGCAAAGCTTTGCAAGCTTTTCTCCTCTTCCCCATATTTAAATTTCTCTTGGGTGTTCTTACTTGGGTTTCTTCTGCCCCGTGTTCATTTCAGGCAGCTCTCGGCGCTGGTAAGGAAACATCCCCCCTTCTCTGGCCCTCTCCCAGCAGCTGCTGGTTTTCGCTGTATCCAGACACCCTGATCAGGAATTGCCAACAGACACGAAGGGACAAAAACCTCTCTAAAAAGAACTCTAACAAATACTGATTTTCCCCCCCCAATAGCATTCAAAAACCTTTGCCCTTTCCATATTGATCCTCCAAATGGCAATGCAATAAGAGTTTTAATTTCTATCCAAAGCTGTTCCCTTATTTCCCAGGAGCAGAAAGGTTGCCTTGGCTTTCGGGAGAGCAGATAAGGCGGCTTGACATTTTTCCTCCCTTATAAGCGAACGATGCTTTTGTGATGACACTGTCCTCCTCTAATAAGGAGGAGAGCTGCTCTTGTTGATTCGGGGTTTTAGTCTGTTTGGTTTGAGTCACCGTTCCTGAGGCCAGGCTGGAGTCGAGGAATGCAGCGGTGCCGTTTTGCCAGGTGGAATACAGCCGGCGTAGAGCAGCGTGTGTCAATGAAGCAGCTTCTTCTTACAGAAGACTTGAAGGGAAAATAGAATTAGAACAAATGTGGGGTGGTGTTTACATCCATGCTTGCATTGAACCGCTGGCTCTCCCCTGCATAATGTCAGCTGAGGTTTTGTCTAATGAAAACCACAGGGTAGGTTTTTTTTCCTGTTTTGTTTATTCTTTTACTCTCTGTGTGTGCGTGTGCATATATAAAAATATATATAATTTT